ATTAAGAGCAGGGGGTGAAAACTTTTGGAATTTAAAGGGCATCATTGACGATCAAGATTAATTCATCTTCCTGGACAAGAGATGCAACAATCTGCTGTTATTTCTGAAGTATAATAATGCATGTAGTAAATATGCATGTAATAAATAATGCAATAAGTAAAAAAAAAAAATTATGTTCAGAAGTTTTCACCCCCCTCGGCTCTTAATGCAAGATGTTTGATGAACCATCAAAAAAAAAAAAAACAGGTCATCATAAACACGGGATGCACAAACTTTTGCACTGGGTTATTTAATAATTTCCGTTAGGCTTTTGTCTCGTGAACTATATTTAAAGATCTTTTATGTAAAGATATCTTACGCGGGACATCTTCACTAAATCCTCAAGGGCTTTGTAAACTTTTCAAGCAGTGCTGTATTTCATGCATGGGTAAAATGAGCTTTACCTGAATTGTTGCATGAATCGTCTGAACGTGTCCACCGTGTTGGTCAACGGTACGATTATATTGATGAGTAACTGTGAGGCGTCCAGCAGATCCTCTCTGACTTTGACCAGCGGTGCGAACGGACGGAAGAAAACCAGTCTCCTGAAGTCTGGAACATTGTCTTCTCTGAACGCAAGATCATATATAGTTCCTGTGTCCCTCTCTGTGCGAAAGATTCCTGCCAATGTAGAGAATGAGGCATTTATTGATTGATATTTAGACTGCATTTGGCAAATCCTCAATACGGTTGATATTCACATAGCTCGAAACACGAATTAACCTGTTAATTTCAACCTGTAATTTGGTGGAAATGTCTAATTTTGGTTTATAATTGTGTATGCAAATTTTCCACACGTAGATGGGTTTTGGAAAGGCTGAACACAGTTTTAAACAAAATGAAGTCGCCTGCATTTGTTTTCATTCAATTAACCAAAATTGACATGGATTATTGCAGGGTTAGTTGTTGTTAAAATTGGTATCTCTATTGATGGAAGTGTTGTTGTTGTTGTTGTTGTTGTTGTAAATATTGGTATCGACCAAAGTTTGTTTTAGTTAAAATTGGTATCTGTATTGATGAAAGTGTTTTGTTTAAATTAGTTTTTTTTTTTGTATTGGTATTGGCCAAAGTTTGGGTTTTGCTGCTGTTGTTATTGTTGTTGTTAATATTGGTATCAACCAAAATTTGTTTTTGTTAAAATTGGTATCTGTTAGTTCTATTAATTTTAATGTGAGAAAGTGCTGATAGTCATCAGGAGGATCAGTTTTTCTCCCTGCACCAAAGTGTTTTGGAAAGTAATTCCTCCATTTCTGCAAGTCTCCAGTCTCTGAAGTTTTTTTTTTTTAATCAATATTTGTATTAGCTGAAGGTTTTTTTTTTTTGTTAAAATTGGTGTTGGCATTGGATAAGGTTTGTTTAAATCAGTATCTTTATTGGTCAGTTTTTTGTTAATTGATATCGATACTGGTATTGGCTGAAGGTTTTTTGTTAAAATCGATATTGGTATGGGATAAAGTTTGTTCAGTATTGGTCAAGGTTTTTTGTTCAAATTAATATCTGTGTTGGCATCAGCTGAAGGTTTTTTTGTTAAAATTGGTGTTGTTATCAGATAAAGTTAAAATCGGTCTATTTATTGGTCAAAGTTTTTTGTTAAAATTGATATCGATACTGATATCGGCATCTGTATTGGTATCGGCTGAAGGTTTTGTTAAACTATATTGGTCAAAGGTTTTTTGTTAAAATTGGTATCTGCATTGGTATCAGTCAGGTTTTTTTTTTTTGGTAAAATCGATATTAGTACCGGATAAAGTTTGTAAAAATTCAGTATCTGTATTGGTCATGTTTTTTTTTTGTTCAAATTGATATCTGTTTCGGCATCAGCTGAAAGTTTTTTGTTAAAATTGGTGTTGGTATCGGATAAAGTTTGTTAAAGTCAGTATTTTTATTGGTCAGTTTTTTGTTAAAAGTGATATCGAAACTGATATCGGCTGAAGGTTTTGTTAAACTCTATATCAGTCAAAAGTTTTTTGCTAAAATCTGTAGCAGTATTGTTATTGGTCAGGTTTTTGTTAAACTGCATTGGTCAAAGTTTTTTTTTTTTTTATTAGTATCGGTAATGGCTAAAGTTTATTTATTTTTTTGTTAAAGTCTGTATCTGTATTGGTATCAATCAAAGGTTTTTTGTTAAAATCAATATTGGTATCGGATAGTTTGTTAATTCAGTATTGGTCATGTTTTTTTTGTTTATATCGATATCTGTGTTGGCTTCAGCTGAAGGTTTTTGTTAAAATTGGTGTTCGTATCAGATAAAGTCTGTATTTTTATTGGTAAGTTTTTTTTAAAGAGTGGTATCGACACTGATATCAGCTGAGGGTTTTTTGTTTAAATCAGAATCTGTATCGGTATCGGCTGAAGGTTTTGTTAAACTATATCGGTCAAAGGTTTTTGCTAAACTCTGTGTTGGTCAACGATTTGTTTTTAAATTGGTATTGGTATAGATATTGGCTGCAGTTTTCTTTTTTTTTGTTAACGTCTTTATCTGTATTGGTGTCAGTCAAAGGTTTTTTGTTAAAATCGATTTTGGTATCGGATAGTTTGTTAAAATTCAGTATTGGTCAAGGTTTTCTGTTCATATCAATATCTGTGTTGGCATCAGCTGAAGGTTTTTTGTTAAAATTGGTGTTGGTGTTGAATAAAGTTTGTTAAAGTCTTTCTTTATTGGTCAGTGTTTTGTTAAAATTGGCATTGAGACTGATATCAGCTAAGGGTTTTTTTTTGTTTAAATCGAAATCTGTATTGGTATCGGCTGAAGGTTTTGTTAAACTCTATATCGGTCAAAGCTTTTTTGTTAAAATCAGTAACAGTATTGTTGTCGGTTAGTTTTTTTTTTTTTTATTAAAATTGGTATCAGTACCAGATTAAGTTTCTTTTTTTTTTGTAAATCTGTATGGGAAAATGTTTTGCATTTACATTACATTGATATTGGTCAATGTTTTTTTGTTTTTTTTATCATTAACATTGGTATTGGTACCAGCTGAAGGTTAAAGTTGGTGTCATATATGGTATTGGTCAACGTTTTTTGTCTAAATCAGTCTCTGCCAAAAATGTCCTATAGGTACATAAGTAAATATCGCATTGCATCAGTATGTTATTTTTGAAAGCGCTTCAGAAATCAGTATCTCTGTGTGTCTCTGACCTTCAGAGAAGTGTTTGGGAGAGTAAATCCTCCTGGTCTGTGAGTCTCCAGGCTCCGGCTGGTTCAGCAGGTGTAGCGCCGCCTCTAGAGCCTCGTTCAGCTCATTCCTGCGGTCAGGTCTGAGCTCTGCCTCCTCTGGTCGTCTGCTGAGGCCGGTCTCCAGCTGACAGACGCTGCGGAGACTGAAGCTCTGGAAGGGCAGAACCATAAACTCGTCCTCCAGCCGGTCTGCAGATCTGCTCTCGGCCCGGAGGATCTGCTGATGGAGGAAATCCTGCAGCTCCTGCTGATCCTCTGGAAGAGCAAACGCAGACCGGCGCAGCTCGCCCCGCAGCTCTGAGATCAGGACAGAAGAGTTGATGGTTAATAGAGTTGATGGATGACAGAGTTGATGGCTGAGTGACAAGACGGTTTAGGATAGGAATAGAGATGCAGAATAAGATAGTACTGTTTTTAGCTACTAATACACCCTGCACAGTTAATATCTGAATGATAGGCAGGTAATAAGCCAGTAGGTAGTAAATGATAGGAATTGTGACCTAAACTAAAGTGTTACTGAACTCATATTAAAATGCAGCTCTATAATAACCTTGTATGAGTCTGCTGAGGTTGGTGGAGAGCTGCAGAAAGTGCTGGTCCTGGAGCTCCAGCAAATCCTGCTCCAGATCTCCATCTTTTGGGATGCCAGATTGCATGTGAATCCTGCAGGACTGACGATACAGCAGAAGAACACAGAGAAAGAGCAGAGCCCAAAACACACAGCGGAGGGAGCATCTCATGATGGAAACACACCAATGATCACACACTCCTCACGACTGATGTGCTTTAACGGCTTCGACAGACTTTTATTGATCATACAGTCTCTTCATCCCCCAAAAAGGTTCTGAAACAATGTGCTTCAGGTCATTCAATTTTTAAAAAATAGCTCTTGAGGAAGCTAAAAAGTTCAGCATTATGAAAATTCCTTGTTGGTTCTTCAAAGAATAGTTTGTTTATTTATTTATTTATTTATTTATTTATTATATTTAATTTATTTATTTATTAGATTTAATTAGATTTATTTCATATTAATTATTTAACTTTTAATGCTTTATTTTTATTTAATTTATTACATTTATTTTAATTTCATTTTTATATTAATTTTATTTGTACTTTTATTTAGTTTTACTGTATTTTATAACATTTATTTTATTTTACTTATTTTTATTTAATTAGATTTTTTACTTTATTTAATAAAAAATGTATTTTATTGTTGCAAATTAATCCAAAGTCCTAAATAAGATACAAAAAAAAACAAAACAGGATTTCTGGTTTAAAAAATAAATTAATCAACAACAAATAAGCAAACCCCAGAATCAAAACCCTTCCCAAAGGCCAAACATAATAATAATAATAATAATAATAATATGCGAAAATAAATGTGTAATTAAATAACCGATAACTAAAACTGCTGTAAAAGCTACTCAAATGTTAATTTTAAAGAGTGAACACTGCAGATCTGAGGTCTGTTTAAATGAAACCATTTCAGTGAAACTGCATCATGTGATTTCATCCATCGTTTTGGTTCAGATTACATGATGGTTCAGAGTTTCCTTGACAATAATAAATCCGGCATTTCATTAAGAGTCCATCTGAAATCAGAGAAAAGATGAATGTGTGTTTAATGAGACACAGATCGGCAAAATGCACTGATGATCAAACACTGAAACAGACATTATTCTGGATTTAAAGACAATCTAAAGAACTCCAAACAACGGTGTAGAATTTACTTCAAATGTTTTCACTCTGAACTTGCTACAAAGAAATGGCAAGAAACAGTTTATCAAATATTAAATATTTAGAGGCAGAAAGTCTACAGTATTTATTATAGAACTTAATGTAAGTATTTTATTCAGTATTTAAATGTTTAACTACATATGCTCACCGGCCACTTTATTAGGTACACCTGTCCAACTGCTTGTTAATGCAGATTTCTAATCAGCCAATCACATGGCAGCAGCTCAATGCATTTAGGCATGTAGACATGATCAAGAGGATCTGCTGAAGTTCAAAGCGAGCATCAGAATGGGGAAGAAAGGGGATTTAAGAAACTTTGAACGTGGCATGTTTGTTGCTGCCTGACGGGCTGCTCTGAGTATTTCAGAAACTGCTGATCTACTGGGATTTTCAAGATTCCCAATAGAAGATTGGAGAAACGTTGCTGCTCTGATGAGTCTCCATTTCTGCTGACACATTCGGATGCTCGGCTCACAATTTGGCCTCAACAACATGAAAGCATGGATCATCCTGCCTTGTATCAGCGGTTCAGGCTGGTGGTGGTGGTGTAATGGTGTGGGGGAGATTTTCTTTGGGTTCATTAGTACCAATTGAGCATCAACGCCACAGCCTACCTGAGTATTGCTGCTGACCATGTCCATCCCTTTATGAGCACAGTGTCTCCATCTTCTGATGGCTACTTCCAGCAGGATAACGCAGCAGGTCATAAAGCTCAATCATCTCAGACTGCTGAACATGACGATGAGTTCACTGTACTCAAATGGCCTCCACAGTCACCAGAGCTCAATCCAATAGAGCAGCTTTGGGATGTGGTGGAACGGGAGATTGGCATCATGGATGTGCAGCCGACAAATCTGCAGCAACTGTGTGATGCTTCATGACAACATGGAGCAAAATCTCTGAGGAATATTTACAGTAGCTTGCTGAATCTACGACACCAAGGATTAAAGCAGTTCTGAAGACAGAAAGGGGTCCAACCCGGTACTAGTAAGGTGTACCTAATAAAGTGGCCAGATGTACATTAGGCTTATTATTATTAACTAAAACTAAAACCACACACACATACATAAACGTGGGTTTAATTGAAAGTAAATAAATATAAGTAATATATTGTAAAATCAAATTTAGGAAGCATTTCTTATTTTCACTTTTTGCTAATTTTATTCATTTATTTACTTTTCAGCTTAGTCCCTTTATTAATCAGGGGCCGCCACAGCGGAATGAACCACCAACTTATCCAGCATGTTTTACGCAGCGGATGCCCTTCCAGCTGCAACTTTTTGCTAATTTGAAGTACAAAAATAATATAAACTAAAATACAGTTTACATAATAAATAACAATAATAATAAACTATATAAACATATAAAACCTAAAAACACCAAACATAATGGCTAAACTTACTGTTTAAATTAGGAAATAAAACTTCACAGTAATGTTTTCATCTAAAACTGTATAACAAAATTACACATTTAATAGCAGTTTACTGAAGCCACTGTCCGCTCTATTTAATTAATTTAGTCAACAAACTTACACTTAAATGAATTCACATCTATTTTCAGTACTAGATTTATTTTTTACCCCGTTTAGCAGTTTTACAGAGCCTAAAATCTGCTTTTAAACTATTTCCTCAACATTTTAAGCATATTTGAACTCTTCAACTTGCCAAAAAAAGAGAATAAAGTCCTACCTGCAAGTTTAAAATCCATCACACATGTGCAGTGTTTGTTCTATGTATATGTTTAAGAGCGTACTGAAGAGACGTGCACTTACAGTAGGAGACGGCCGTGTTGTAAAGGGCTCCTCTGTGTGCACTGAGGAATCATGGGTAATGAGAGATTCTGTTTGCACACGCTGCTTATGTAAATACAGCAGACGCTCAAAATACTGCTTTCCACAATAATTCCAGAGTTTGACACACGCTATTAAACACTTTTAATCTTCATAATGCATCTACAAGACACTATACCACGCCATTTGGACTGAAAAGCTGTTATTTTGTGATGGAAGTAACTTAATATTTTACTAAAATATTATTATTCAAGGCGGCATGGTGGCTCAGTGCTTAGCTCTGTGGCCTCTTGCTGGTTTGAGTCTGGGCTGGGTCTGTTAGTGTTTCATGTTGGTGTGGGTTTCCTCCGGGTGCTCCGGTTTCCCCCACAGTCCAAACACATGCGCTATAGGGGAACTGATCAACTAAACTGGCCATAGTGTATGAGTGTGTATGGGTGTATTCCAGTACTGGGTTGCAGCTGAAAGGGCATTCGCTGAATAACCCATATGCCGGAATAGTTGGTGGTTCATTCCACTGTGGTGATCCCTGATAAATAAGGGGCTTGAATGATTGAATGAATTACTATTAAAATCATGCTGCATTTGGGGAACTCCTTGTCAATGAGTAAATATGTAAAAAATGCAGTCTAACTTTTAAATCTGAGCATGTTTTACGTTTTCACCATGATTTTTACAGCATTTACTTCTTTTATTAAGGAAAATAAAATGGGGAAAGTAGGCAGAGACAGTCAAATATAGGTACAGTCTTACAGTTTAGGAATGCTTTTATTGATCAGTGGGTCTCTCAGAGATCTCAGAAGAGAAAAAGGCACTATTTACAGCATCAGAAACAGATGATGAACTCTTTAATGCTAACAAACAAAAAACAGAGACGTGAACTGATCGTCTGCAGCATCTCCAACCAAAACTCACAGTACAAAAATATCTCTCTCTGTGTGTGAAGACGGAAGCTGATGGAGATGTTTATTTCTCACAGCAGACTGATCTGGAGTCAGAGACAGACTCAGGATCCCACCATGTCGTAGACGTAGATGTGATAGTCGTCGTTGAACTTGATGAAGTAGACGGAAGGTTTGGCCTGGACCTGCTGGATGATGGTGCCGAGCTTCTGTGCTCCGTCTTTATTCAGACACTCCACCTGCTTCCCCACCAGCGTCTCACTCACTTCACCTGCTTCTCTGAGCTCAGCTGCCTCATCTGATGGAGAAACACACACACACACACACACACACACACACACACACACACACACACACACACACACACACACAAGCATCATTAACATCAATATCTGATAGAGAAACACACACATCAACATCATTATTATCTTCATCATCAACATTAGCAACACTATCGTTTTATTCATCTTCATTATTATCAGCATTACCATCTTTACCATCAATACCATCATCATCATTACCATCAACATAACCATCTTGATCATGACCACCATCCTCATCACTATCATCATTACCATCTCCAACATAATCACTACCATCATCATAACCATCCTCATCACTATCATCATTACCATCTCCAACATAATCATTACCATCCTCATCACTATCATCAATACGATCTTCGACATCAACATCATTGCCATCATTATCATCTTCACCGCCATCATTATCATCTTCATCACTAACATAATCATTACCATCATCATAACCATCCTCATCACTATCATCATTACCATCTTCGTCATCAACATCTTTATTACCATCATCATCAACGCCACC